TATATATAAATATATATATATATATATATATATATATATATATATATAAAAGTTATAGTACACTTGGGCGTGTTTATATAAAAGACCTAATGAAAATAATGAAAGTTATAAGAACCTAAGGTATATGCAAATATCAGATTACTTGATCTCTGACACTGTGGATGAACGTAAAATTAGCAAAAATTTCTGAGCTCGAATTCTGTAATAATTCAATATTTCGCAAGAAGTAGTTTAACATAACGTTACTGAAATACATTTGCATTCGATTTATATATGGCATAGAATAGGTAAGAATGAATAGGATGGAAATAAACAAAGTAATTAACAAAAAAAAATAAAAGTCTTAAAATATGTGTGAATTCTGTAATTACAAAGAAATGGCATGAAAAGGAAGGAAATAAAAAAAAGAATAGTTTTAAGAACGATCAATAAAAGACATTATTTAAAGGTTGGCAAGAGAAATATAGAATATGAAAATAATTAAATAAATATACGAAAGGAAATACATATAATTTACATATATGATCAGAAAAGATTTAAGATTGAAGCGGAAGAGCAAAGTATGATTGAATTGAAAATTATGAATAATATTTTAAAGAAATTCTTTATCTTTAAAGATATGTAGTATATGAAAAGAAATATATGTAGATATATGTACGTATATATATAAATAAATATGGGTAAATCCATTCCAAAAAAGAATATATAGACTATAGAAAAAATATAGACAGCTTTTTTTTTTTTGTTTTTCTTAAATGGTATCTTATAGAAGATTTGTTATATAGCACATTAATTAGCAATTATATCAGACAGCTTTTCGCGAAATAAATAAACATCGTTTATAGGCATATTGCTGATAGATAAACTACCTTCTAATTGAAGAGTCTGACTATATACGTAAAACTTAATTATTTCATATTGCCAAAGATGATGAAAGAATAGAAAGTTGGTCAAATTAAAAAATTCACAGACAAGCAAACAGTCAGAGAGGCAGAGTCAGTCAGCTGCGAGCTCATCTATATATACATATACAACTAAGCAAATATATATATGTATATTGAGAATCGACTAATCGATTTTAGAAATGTTTTCTTCCAACTACGCTCAGTTCTGTGAGGCAGCCGTTGGCGTATTTGTATTTGTATTTGTGTCGAGAGTTGCTTTCGTTCGGCACGCAAATGTTCAATTAAATGCTAAATGCGCTCGAGATCTGTGGAGCTCTGTGAAGCTCTGTGGTATTCTCGGCTAACTGTCAACTGAACTGGTAACGAGCCAGAGTCGTCATAATTATCGGCCTTTCGAGACTTGCGTTTCAATTAATCTCCACTTGTGCGAGTTGCGATTAAATATATTAAATACAAAAGAAATTACAAACAAATAATATATTTAAGAAGAAGAAGGAGAAGAAGAAGAAGTAGAAAAAAAATGGTATAATTATTAAATTGCAATTACAAAATGAGCACAAGAAATTTGGATTACTTGAGATGTATGTACTCGTTGTTTACTGTATTTTCACCTACAAAGCCAGAAAGAAGCTGCCGAGGCGCAGAAGAAACATGCGACTGCCAAACGGACAGCCGAGGCGGGTGGGGAGGCTGGGCAGGAGACGGGGGAAAGGCGGGGCCAGTTGAGCTGAATCTGATGTCTGCGACTATAAAATCGCTATATACATGAGAGCAGCAGCAGAGAAATAAGTGGAGAAAAAAGCACAACATGAAGATGAAAAATCAACTTTAATTGGTTTACAATTCATTTCTGTAGCGAAAAGCTGGAAAATGTAACAAGTCGCCAAGCCGCTAGAGAAGAAAGCAGCAGCCGGAGCAGCGCCTGCTTCAGTCTCCGTGCTCCAGCTGAAGTTGAAGTGTCTGCTGTGCAATATCCATGAAGCGGCGGCGGACGCCGCTGAGCCAAGCTGAACTCAGTCGATTGCCTAAGGCAGCGCCGGCAACGTGAATTAGGGAAAGCACAGTGGGCATAACTATGCCATTAACTATGCAGAATTTGCTTGTTTGATCAAATATTTGCTGATTAGTGTGCTGCGAGCCTTTGAGTAACTTTGTCTAAACAGAAATAAATTATATTTTTTAGGGCTATGCAAGACGTACGCAGTGTTAGGGTTAGACTGGGGTCTTGGGTATAACTATCATAATTTAAATACAAGAGATAGACTTTGAGAGACTTGATGTGGTTCAGTAGCTCTTGAGTACCTTCTGATTCTTCCTCAACGATCTATAGTTTTCGAAATTTAAATGAACAGGCATTTAGTGAAAAATTATATAAGTTTAGTATTTTATTTTGATATGCTGAGATTTTGAAAACATTCATAAATTAGGCTGATAAAAAGAAAAATAATAATATAGAATAGATAGATAATAATCTATATATTTATAATATGCGTGAATAGTTTTATTCGATCCCATTATTTTCATAGAGCTTCAATTAGACGTCATACTGATTTTTTATTTATTTAACCTATTGGTTAATACTTTCATATTTATAAATATTAGTTTTCTTTGCATAATATATATATGCTTTCAAATATATATATGCTATTAAATTTTGGCAATAGATCCAATTTTGTACACTATTTATACAGTTTTATAGTAAAATATATAGAGCATAGATTTTTGATATTTAAAAGTATATTTTATTTAATTTTTAATTTTATTTAAAGTACATTTTGATAATCTATAGTTAGTTATCGTTAGCCAAAATCAGCAATTTCATTTAGCTAAATATTAGTGATTATGAGTAATTTTTTGACTAAATTTTAGTTTTTGTTTCGCCACTCGACCCACTGTGCTGTGGCTAATATCTCAGACAAATGGTAGCAATTGCGCATCATAGCCAGCGGCGGCTGTAGCCGCGCAGAGATGCGGCGCGGGGAGAGCTCCAGCGCTTCGCCCGGGCGTAACATAGAGAGAAAAGTCTTTGCGTCTTTGGCGTATGATCTGCTCTTCATTCCATTTGTATTTTTTAGTGTAAATGTTTTTCTCTAGTTTTTGTTGTGCATTTGGCGCATTTAAGCGTTAATTTCACACCGAAAAAAAAAGAAGCTGAGCAGAAACAGCAGCAGCAGCAGCAGCAAAACGCGCTAGAAGTTTGCTGGGGCAGCCAGCCAGACGCTGGCTCAATCGCGTGGCGTACCCACTGAGAGTCAGTTGCACCTGTAGCCGATGCAGATGCAGATGCAGATGCCGATGCAGATTGATGAGCCCGGCAACGACTGGCAAGTCAGGGACAGTTCGACTTTCGGTTTCGAGTGACGGCTGCTGCAGCCAGCCAACGAGATTGATTTACGAAATATGCATGAGGCCCGGGCCCCAAACTCGAAATGCAAATTAACGGAAGCCGAAAACAGTTAAAAGTCCAAACTCGAAAAAAACGCAATGAAAAACAATCGAAACGAATACGAATCAAAGTGATTTTTCATTTAACCGTTTCAGCATTTTATTTATCTATCTACTTATTCATTTTTGTTTTTTTTTTTTTTGTGGACTGTGCATGTGCGCGCGTCTAACGGTAACGGTATTGGGGAAAACTCCAACGAAAACCAGTTGATTCTGTTGTGATATGAACTATATATTATCGCATAGGCGACGTGAAAGCGAAAGTCGCATAGGTAACAATAGCTGTGCGTAGGTAAGCAAAAGGCATTCATCAGCATTCTCAATATAGCACAACAATTGCACCACAATCACGCCTACCACACACCGCCTGCCCCATCGCCCCAACGCCCCACCGTCCCTTTGTAGTGCACTCGCAATGCAATTTTTCTCGCGTCGTGTCGTGACGTCTGATCCATGCACAATGAATACTTGAAACATGCTCGCGTCACACCTCCTTGAGCAAACGCCCACACAAAAACGCCCTCCCACCCACACACACACACACACACACACTTGGCACGTCCTGCTGCAATCCAACAAAAGACAAACGCAAAACTCACCCACTCTGCAGCTACTTTTCGACCATCAACGTTAAGAAGGGCCTGCTGGGCCGTATGACCACAAGTCTGACCTCGTACCGCCGCAGCAAGCAGAAGAGCAAGTCCAACAATGACATACACACCATCATCTCCACGGAAGTGAACTGCGTCACGACTGCCATACTCAGTCACAGCAAGAGCAACAGCAACAGCAACAGCAGCAGCAGCAGTAGCAGCAGCAGCAGCGGCAGCGGCAGCCACCTCAACTGTCACGATCCTGATGCCGAGCCGGGGCCAGACACAGCGAACGCACACAGCTCCAACCAAAGTCCGGGCCAGAAGCACAGCGGCCATCTGGAGGACAGCAAGCTCGCCGAGAATCTGAGCAGTCTCAGCGAGCGCATGATGGAGGCGCACCAGCGCAAGGTCTCCGGCAACGGCGACTCCAATGACGACGAGGCCACGCCCATGCTTGTGGCAGGCGCCGGCCAGGGTCGCAAGGAGCAGAACAATCGACGCAGCGTCGTGAGGTGAGACAGCAGCAGCAGCAGCAGAGATGGCGGCAATGGCTGCGGAAATGAAGCTGGCTAATTTAGTTAACATTCTGTTAACATAATATACAAAGTAACAGAAATAATCTACAGGCTGTTACTTCTATGAATAAATATAATAGTTTTATATACATTTATCAATATTCCCTTACCTATTGTGTGATTATCTATTATTAGTATTAGCAAGTCTTATAAATAGATTATCTGCTGGAATTTATGCAAACTACTGAAAATTCTTCATTTCTCCAACTTTTGCATGAATGTGCGTGTCCGAACACTTGTAACTGGTGCAGATCGAACTTGGTTTGCTCTAAAATCTGTTGTTCAGTTTAGAATAATCATTAAGATCACATTGTCTTGTCCTTGTCTGAGCAAATGTTGATTACTTTTGGCTCAGTCAGTTAATGACTCTACTCTGCCTGAGCATAGATTAGGATAGTCTAGTAATATGCAATTCTTATGCGCTTTATACGATAGCCTAGCTATTAGAAATAAGAAATTCGAATATCGTAGACTTATAGCTATTGAGTATCATTCACTATCATACTATCGAATACGAAGCATGAACTATATAACCACGATATATTTTTCACACCATATTCTACCAAATGGCTATCATTTACCTATAACTAGACCTATATATATATATGATACATAAATGGAAAATTATATATATTATCTGTGATTAGCATATATGATGTGATTTACATATATAACTAGATAATGTAAATGACATATATGTAAAAACTTATACCTATAAATGTCTATCATTTACTATCGTGCTTCTAGAAAAGTGAACGTGTGTATGTAAGCTATATGATATATTATTATGATATATGCATATCATACTAAATGAACTTTTATATTTGATGTCTTTTATATGATATATAAGATATGATAAATGTTGCATGTATGATATATTTGATATATCTCTATATATAATCAGACTTGCAGTAAATGACTATCATTCACTTTCGTGCATCTATCATCTAGCACAACAATGAAAAAGAGCTGTCAACTCGTTTGCTCTTTGCAGTTCGCAGTTTTCTTTTTCTTTTGTGGCTGTTTTTGTTTTGTGTGTTGGCATTGATGATACTTTAATTTGTATCTATACCTATGTATAGCAGTCTCTCGATATGGCAGCCATTAGCCATTTTACACATATGTATGTATGTATGTAGTTATTTCTTGCTGCTTGCGAAATCTTTGTCTGCAAGTGAATGCAACCAGGGGCAGGAGGCAGCAGGCAGCAGGCGCAGGGGGTGCATGCCACATGGAGCTGGCCGTGTTGACTTTTTGCTCATTAGCCAACTGCAAACGAATTTGGCCTTAGCTAATTGAAACCAAACGCAGATAACATAGCTGCGATTCCTCTCATATTTATCAAGAGCGATACAGAACTAACTATCTGCTCTCTATCTGTTTTGCCCTGCAGCGCTAATACGCAAATGGACAATGATGTCACGCCCGTTTATCTGGCCGCCCAGGAGGGGCATTTGGAGGTGCTCAAGTTTCTGGTGCTTGAAGCTGGCGGCTCGCTCTATGTGCGCGCACGCGACGGAATGGCACCGATCCATGCCGCTTCACAAATGGGCTGCTTGGATTGCCTCAAATGGATGGTGAGTATACTAAAGCACACACACACACACACACACACACACACATACACACTTGCTGAACTGTAGCAAAAAATTTGCAATTGCCAAATGTGCCAAAAATGGGGCCAACAACAACAACCAAATCTGAACTCGTTTGGTGCGCACTAGGCGCATGGCCTTCAGCTGGCTAGCTGGTTCTTGTCCTGGTTTCGCTTTGCACAACTAACGGTTCCCGGTTCTCCGACTCGTTTGTCGCCTGGCCTATGCAATTTATCAAACCGTTTAGCATTTGCCGCTAACCAGATTCCCACATCGGACCGGCAACAGTCAAAGTCACAGTCACAGTCAAAGTCAGAGTCAGAGTCAAAGTCTTAAAGCTCTGCTCTTTTATTCTTTATATCCGCTGAGAATGCGAATTTATCTGTTGCAGCTTCTTCACTCTTCTCTCTTTGACTCTTCGACTCTTCTCTTCCCCAAGCGTGGGCTGTCTCTTTCTGTATTTCTTATAGATCCAACGACATAAACTGGACATCTCGCCAGGCCGACTTTGGGTGCCAGTTGAAAATCACCTTTCTAAATTGAGCTAAATAGTTTTGCATTACACACACACACACACATACACAGACACACTCATGTCGACCACTTTCCACATTTATGTGAGTTGAGTGGAGCTGAGTTTTGCTTGAGTTGTGTCCACAGAGCGAGTCAAGTCTAGTCGAGCCACACGACAACACGTCACAGCCGCTGACAGTTCACAATGGATCCTTGTGGAGCAGTTGAGAAACGCCAAGAAAAGGCCACTTGGAGAGCATTTATGCTGTACTACGAGGTCTCTCTGCCATTATCATTTTTTAACTTTCTTCTGATAGTTAACAGATGTTAACAAAAGTCTGTTAAGTTTTCCTTCGAGTCCGCGCCTCTCTGCGCTCAACAAGCAGCAGCAGCTGCAATCGGTCCAAGTTTAGTTATTTCCTGGAATTGAAACATTTCTTTGATTGCATCTGCAGGTCCAGGATCAGGGCGTGGATCCGAATTTGCGCGATGGTGACGGTGCCACGCCACTGCATTTCGCCGCCTCGCGTGGCCATCTGTCGGTGGTGCGGTGGCTGCTCAACCACGGCGCCAAATTGTCGCTGGACAAATATGGCAAATCGCCGATCAACGATGCGGCCGAGAATCAGCAGGTGGAGGTGAGTAGCGACGCTAGCTGCCAGTGGGTGTAGCGACTCTCATTTAACCAACGTCTGCCTTTGCGTTGCAGTGTCTCAACGTGCTCGTGCAGCACGGCACCACCGTCGACTACAACACCAAGAGCAACACACAGCGCCACAAGTCACAGCACCAACATCAGCATCAACAGCAGCAACAGCAGCAGCAACAGTTGCAGCACATGAGCAGCAGCTGCAACTCGAACACGAATTCGAGCAAGCAGACGAGCCGCAGCAACACGATCAAGTCAAAGTCCTCATCCACGCTCAGCTCCGATGTGGAGCCCTTCTACTTGCATCCGCCAGCAGTGACGGCGGCAGCTGCCGCAGCAGGCGTCGGTCTGGGCGTCGGCATCACGCGCAAGAACAGCGACGCCTTGTACTCGCAGCAGTCGCGCAGCTCCTCGGAGAAGCTCTACGGCTGCAATGGGGCAGCGGGCGGGGCTGGTGGTGCTGGCGGCAGCTCGAGCGGCGGCGGCGGCGGCGGCGGCGGCGGCGCACTGCTGCCCAACGATGGGCTCTATGTGAACCCGATGCGCAATGGGGGCATGTATGCCACGCCCTCGCCGAACGGCAGCATCTCGGGCGAGTCGTTCTTCCTGCACGATCCGCAGGAGATCATCTACAATCGGGTGCGCGATCTGTTCGTCGACTCGGACTGCAGCAGCGTAAAGCAGCACCAGATGCCGCATCCGTTGCACTCGTTACAATCGAAGGGCGGCAATGCGATCATGACCATCCAGGCCGATGTCCACTCCAGCTCGAGTGGCGCCGGCAGCGGCTCCGACGAGTCCGTCTCCATCGCGTCCAGTTTCAACTCGCCAAAGAGCAGCAGTCATCATCACAGTCACAATCATCTCCAGCATCAGCATCAGCAGCAACAGCAACAGCAGCATCAGTTGCGCAGCCAGAGCTTCAATAGGCATGGCAGCAGCGGCAACATTAGCACTAGCAGCAATCTAAAGAACAACAACAACAACAGCAGCAGCAACAACAACAATAATAACAACAGCAGCAGCAACAGCGGCAATAACAACAGCAACTACAAGCAGCACAAGAGCAGCAGCAGCAACATCAGCACCAATGGCAATCAGAACGGCGATCACGACTACGAGGATATATATTTGGTGCGCGAGGAGTCACGCAAGCAACATCAGCACCAGCACCAGCATCAGCTGCAGCAGCAACAGCAGCAGCAACATCAGCAGCAGCAGCAGCAGCAGCAACAGCTGCAGCACAAATACAGCGTGGGCAGATCGCGTTCCCGTGACAGTGGCTCCCATTCGCGTTCGGCCAGCGCCAGCTCTACGCGCAGCACCGATGTTGTGCTGCAGTACAGCAATCATGTGAGTAGCGATTAGACAGGGTGACTCGTGTCAGTGGATTTCATCTCCCTCTCTCTCTTATTCTCTGCTCCTCTTTTAGCACTTGAACAACAAGCGCAGCAACTACAACAACAACAATAATAATAACAACAGCAACAACAACAGTAACAACAGCAACAACAACAACAACAACGGCAACATGAGCGTATTGAATCGCAACAAGTCGCATTCGATGATTGGCCTGCACAGCAGTAAATACGATTCGAGCCTGAAGGATAGCTACAGCGCCAAGAACGTGAATCTGAATCTGAAGAATCAGCTGCTCAATGGCGGCATCAAGAGCGACACCTACGAGAGTGTCTGCCCGCCCGAGGATGTGGCCGAGCGCACCAAGCAGACGCACAAGAACTCCATGATACGCAACAATCTGGCGGACGCTGGACTGCTCAGCAGCAATCCCAATATATCAATGCACAGCAGCAGCAATAACCACAGCCACAGTCACAACAATAACAACAACATCAGCAGCAGCAGCAATAGCAACATCAACATGATCAGCAACACCAACAGCGGCAGCAGCAACAGCATCAATCAAAATGGCGCCAACAACGGCAACAACAGCAACATGAACAGAAACTTGAAACGTGTCTCCTCGGCGCCGCCCATGCAGAATCTGGCCGTGGGTAAGTCAAGTGAGAGCAAATTGTTGGATGAGAGAGATCACTGAATATACATATATTCCACTAGAAATTGCGATTAATTTGTGGGCCATTATCTATAAGTGTTGAAAACGAGATCAAATTATTTAGAAGTATTACACTAATTGTTTACGACTTTTAAAATGTATAATGTCTAAAAATCTCCTGGAGATACACATAGAAATAACTTTCTCTAAGTTCAGTTTTATTGAAATTGTAACTATCTGGCAGCACTGCGTCACTTAAAGTTGGCTGCGCTTGCAGATGAAATAGTTTGTGGATTGTCGATTCGAAACTGAATGTGAATATGTAAATGTCGTAAAGTTTCCAAAGTGGATGTTAAGATAGCTGTAAATATAGCAAAGACTTTCAATCAGAATGAGCTTGGGATCAGGTCAGGATGTCCATTCTAATTGCTGTAAAGCTTACTTTAAATTATAAAAAGAAGGCTATCGAATTGATCCATATGTTTCTACTTATACCAAAAGCAAACAAGTAATATAATATTAATATTATTAGGTGCTTAATGTTGTGTACGCATTCATCTTAAAATCAAACAGAAAGGGTTTTTTTTTTTTTTTTTTTTTTTTTTTTTTTGTGTACTATATACAAAACAGAGATGTTTCGCAGATTTTCATTCAATATACATATATATATTTTTTTATTTTGCATAGCTTCTTTATTGGGTATAGTAGAAACATATTTGAAAAAATACATTGAAAGTGTAGAAAATGTGTACAAAAATGTTTTATTGTTTAAATATTTCTTTCTATGCTGTATATTGTAAGTATGTGCAGGGAACCTAAACATTTCCTTTGATTGAATAGGTTTTTTTTTTTAATTTCAATTATTTTATTATTAATTTATTTTGTAGAGATTATGCTGAATTCCATTTTTCATTCCTCTTACATATGACAAGAGGTTTGTTCTATTTAACTTCAACACTTGTGTTCTTAAAACACCCAATTAATTTAATATGGACTCATGTTATAAAAGTTTACTATAGCATGTCATATAGTAACAGGACAAGCTCTTTTACTTTTTACTTTTTTTTCCAATATCATTGTCTTACACTTCTTTAATATCAAATAAACTCTAATATCCATCTTATTATCATACTATTTAACTCGCTCACACGCACTCTCTCTCTCTCCTTCTTTGTCTTCACAGTTAATGGACCACCGCCACCGCCTTTGCCGCCGCCACTGCGTGCGCCTGTGCAACGCAACAACTTGAACGCGGAGCACTCCGGCAGCAGCCAGAACAACAGCTCGAACAACAACCAGAACAACCACTCGAACAACATCTATAAGAAGAATCACTTTGGCCTCGCGCCGCCAGCGGCAAATGCTCAAACCACGCCCACAAATGCCGCCTCGAGTGGTGCACACGAAGCCGTCGACTCGGACTCGGGCCTGGAGGTGGTCGAGGAGCCCAGCCTGCGTCCCTCGGAGCTGGTGCGTGGCAATCACAATCGCACCATGTCCACCATATCCGGTAAGTAACTTCGTAGGCATGCGAGTGCTAGAAACAGAATTTGTCGTCTCGCTCAGCTGGTCTTGGGCTAAGTGTCAAATCAGATATTTTGGATCAATCAGTTTCGGCCACACAACATAATTTTCGACTATCAAATTTCATAAATCACAAATTCAACTCTAAACCCAAAAAGAAAACCAAATAAAAAGAAAAATAAAATAGAAAAAAAAAAAAAATAGATATATATCATCGGAGTCCGAATCAAACTGCGGCAAGTGTTGTGAGCCATGAGCACGGATGGATCTAGCATGGATTGGTCGGATCTGTTCGATAGCCAGCCGATGAGCTGCAGCTCGGAGGAGACGAGGACCACACACCTGTCGTCGAGCGATACGCAGGAGATGGCACAGCTCACCGAGCAGATGTCCAGTTCGGTGCAGGCGTCCAGCCTGGAGGATCTGTCCGACAAGCTGCCAGAGAATCTGAACCTGAAGGATACCTATGTCATTTACAGCGTGGGCAACACTACGCTCTGCCTGAGCTCACTGGACCCCCAATATGCCACAGAGTCCCAGCTGCAGCTGCTCGACCGCCATCTGCTGGATGTCAAGATCGCCCATCCGGAGCAGCCGCTCTGGCCAAATCCGGACATCCTGACCCTGGGCATGCGCAATATATTCGATGTGGATGAGGATGTGCCCTCTACCAGTTCAGCGGCCGCGACCGCAGCCGTACCCACATCGACGCCAAGTCGCAGATGCCACACCAAGATGAAGTGCGTCAAGCAGCTGGGCAAGAAGCGGCGCGCCAAGCAGCATCATAAATTCTGAGCCAAGCAACTTGCACCACCAGACCAGCACAGCACAGTTGTATCTGTTCTCGAGCTTCTTTCTCGTTCAATCAGTAAAACCGATCATTGCCCCATAGCACCATTGCATTCATTCATCCATTAGCATCAGCTCATCCTGCGGCTGCCATCCACGCGCTGGGGGGGTCTTTGACATCTTTGACGTGAGGGCGAGGGGGCGTGGGGCGGGACAGCGGCGCTAGATATTGATTGATCAATTAGCGACACAAACATGCCTCAAACTGGTATTGCCCAACAACCAGACTTGGCAAACTGTGCAGCTGTTGGTTGGCTTTTTGTTTGCCACTTGGCAAATTGGCAAAGTGACAACAACAACAACAACAACTAAACTAACATGCTATAGCCATATAGCCATACCAACTAAAATTGAACACAGATCAATATTTTGACTCACAAGTGTCTCGCAGCGGAACTCATTTGAAGATCTTGAGTAATGTTTGCAGTGGGCACACCAGGCTGATGCAAAAGTGCAAACCAAACTTCGTACATATATACAGCCGAGCTCATCCAATTAGTAATACAAGTGATGTAGAGGAAAAACTAAATGAACTACTCCTTACTTTAACAACAATTTGTACTGAATAGTAATAGTAGCATTTGTATTAATATTAGCTTAGTTGTTGTTTAAAGAGTTTAGAGCTCAGTCTTTATACTATACTATTACTACATACATATATATAGACTTATAGGTATACTATTCATAGCAGCAACAGTATGGAATATTGTTTGTGAGCTAATCCGAAGTGTGATCTTTGTTAATTAGGGATTATTTACAATAGACTTGATCTTGGTTAATTATGAATATTTATTGAAAGTGTGGATGTTGTTGTTCTTTAAGAAAATTTCTTAGGAAAATCTGTTAAGTCGAACGGACATTGTGTAAATTGTTATTATTATTTAGGATTGTAATTTACTTAGGAACATTTTTGTTTATGATAGATTCTTTGGTTATGAATGTCATGCAATAAAAAATCATCCATAATAAGTAAAACGAAAAGTATATGAAAAGCATAGGAAAACTCCGTAGATAGCGGATAGCAGCTGAAAGGTTTTATAAAAATCACTAACATACAAGGCCGCAACCTCACAAGCTACAATTCCCTTTCATATCAGATCTACCGTCTGTGGATAGCAGGAGTTTGGATCAGTTGATGTAGCCTTTGTCAACGATCATGATGATGATGATGATCCCATGGCAGTTAGAGCTGCTGAGTTGCTGTCGCTCAAATTTGCCCCGAAAACTCTGGCTAAAATAGTCGAAAAGCCGTGCGTTATAATATTTGGGATTGGAGTTACCAACATTTATACAAATCAATCTTATATATTTATTTTTCGAGACTACAAGAGTTTGAATTTTCCTTTAGACTGACTACCGCATGCCAAGCAAACGACGCATCGAGCAATTTAAACATCAGTTTACAGAGTTGCTGAGTTTGTTAACCTGGCCAAGACAATGAATGCCAGACATTTGACATGCATTGACTTGCAATATGCATTCGTAAATGGCTTATGCATTCGCAATGTGTGTGTGTGTGTGTGCGTGTGTGTGTTTGCTAAGAGAACTAGTTGGACAAATTAAATAGACAGGCGAACAAAACTCAGTGCAAAAAGTTCACACGTTGTGCAAAAAAACAAAAAAAAGTGCAGTAGCAGAAAATACGGAAAATCGCAGTAACGGAAAAACATTTGAGTTTGCAAAACAAAGAAGTGGAAGTTGTTAACAATTGAAAAACAGAAAAACTTAAACAAACAAAACATTGGGAAAATATTAGTACAAGGGACAGACCAAGAGAGAGAGAGGGAGAGGGAGATAGAGGGAGAGAGCAATAGAGATCGAGCAAGTGCAACACTTGCCACTGGACACTGCCAACTTGTGGCATGTCCGATCAGAAGCTGCTGCGGATCCTTTGGCGCTGTCAGCGGCCAAAGCGGAAGCACATCAGCTCGAGCAGTTGACAGCGGCTGCTGCCCCGCCCCCGTGCCACAGGGGCCACAATGCCATGGCAATTACGGCCTCTGCTGGCTGCATGTGGGTTGTGGCAGTCAAGCCACCCGCGCTGCTCGCGCTGCACAACTTTTACCCAAGGAAAGTGAACGTGTTTTTTGTTTTTCATTTTTCATTTGGTTTTTTTTTTTTTTCGCACAGCCATTGACAAGTCTTCGCGTTGCGCCTGCCACAAGACTCGGAGTGCACACGAGTCGAGTGGCTGTTGTTGCTGTTGCTGCCGCCGCTGCTTGTGGCGCTTTGGGTGAATAACTTTGGCAATAGCTTGAACTCGCATCAGGCTGCCAGCGACGCTCGCCCGGGCAACATCGTCAACGTTCACAGCGCTCAGCTTCGCGACTCGCGACTATATCGAATAAATCTCTGTGGATATACATTTCCTTCATTATTTTGTTTGTTTGAGTGTGTGTGCTTCGGTTGATCTCTTCTAATTTGAATTTGTGCAATCGCTGATCATGTGATTTGCTTGCTAACAAATCGACGACAGTTCACAGTTCAAGCTCAGACGCCATGAATATGGCGGGCTCGATGAAAATCCATAAGAATACGCGACGCAACTATTTTACGCTGAGCTTTCAGCGCTTCGATATATTTCGTTGTAAGTACGATGGGAAATGAAAACCATAGGAAATATATATAAATATATTTTCGATATATTGTGAAAAGTGTTTGGTTGAAAAATGTTCATAAATTTACATACTTACATCACATGGCTCATGCATTTTAATACCTATGACTAAATATTGGTGCCCCATCGATTGCACTTTTCCCTCATCTGTGTGCGTGCCCAGCTTCCCTTGCCCCTGCCCGTTGCTCTACATTGACAATTTCACGGTGAAATTGAAACCAGTCGCTGTTGCCTAGGCGCAAACTGGACCCAGCCAAATTATTCCGTTTCCAAATGGAGACCGCGGCCAGCTTCCAGTTGGACTGCTCTCAAAAAGTGCCAAGCGTCGGCAATGTCGTTTTTTATTTGGCCATCGAATTGGTTGGGCCAAACAGGCCAGACCCGATGCCGATGCCGATGCCGATATCGATTCCGATCTCGATACCGAACACGAACCCGCTGCACTGCGTCCATATACGCTTTTTGCTTTTCATATAAATATATATTTATTTATATATATGTATGTTTGTTCGCTCTGCCCCCAAGTCGATGAAACGGGTTGCTGAGCCGTGAAAGTTGCAATGCCGAGGACACACGCAGGCCGAGTGGTGCGCGGCGGTGGTGGCGGCCAATTAACTGACAAACATGTGCACCACTTCGCTTCGCTGACCACTAATCATGCGAGCTGTCATTTTAGTGGATTTTCCTTAGCTGTGCTTCGAAATTTACAGTTTGTTCACGATGCTCGTAATGCTTTCCACTCGCTGACCTTTTCGCATGGAGTCATTGCTATATGAATTTGAATTCGAATTCGAATTTGACTTGGGCAATTGCCGTGCCAACAGTTAATTGAATATTAATCCAGGCAGACATTTGCGAGCAGCTAATTTGAATTTCAAGTGGGACTTGAAGCGCTGCTCAATTAGTCCTGATTGCGTTTGTGCGAGCTGAATGCCTGCGGCTGTGCGAAATCCTTGATGAATCGCTGCTGGTTTCTGTTTGCGCTTCAATTACTGCAATTGCATTTCGGAGCACTTCATTTGATTAGGATGCAGTCGAAATCCATTAGCGCCATTCGTCTGTTTGGTGAAAGGCGTCGACACACGCTGCATACGCAATGAGTTGTATCTGCGAGAGTGTGATCTGTGTGAGTGTGTGTGTGTGTGTGTGCGTGTGTTGCTGTTGTTGTTAATGTGGTTCAAGCTAGCGTGACCAAAGAGCTGGGATAACTGCTAACCCACAATAAGTAGTTAACGCAGACAAGACTTAAATCTCATAAATAAATTTGTTCAATTTCAGCGAACAAGAAAGCCAAGCTCCTCAATGGCAACGGCAACGGCAACGGCAACAGCAACGGGACCATTGGCGCCTCTGCTGGCGCAACAACAGCAGCAGCTGTTGCCGCCGCCGCCGCTGGCAATGGTGAGCCGCACTACCAGCACGCCTCGAATGGCAGCATCTATGGCTACGCGGAGGGACCCGGCGGCAAGCAGCGCAGCGGCGCCAGCAGCAGCAGCAGCTACCAGCCTTCCCACTACCACCAGCAGCAACAGCAGCAACAACAACAGCAGCAACAGCAGCAGCAGCAGCAGCAACAGCAGCAATCCATTTATTCACCCAGCATCTATGGCGTGGGTTCATCTGCGGAGGATCACTACGAGCTGCAGCAGTCGCAGTATGGCGGCAGCTACAATGGCGAGGGCGCTGGCTTGCGTTCAGGTGGCCCCAATTTGGTCAACAAGCAGCTGGTGCTGCCGTTTGTGCCGCCCAGTTTTCCCAACAAATCACAAGACGGCGTCACGCATCTCATCAAGCCGTCCGAGTATCTGAAGAGCATCAGCGATAAGCGTTCGTGTCCATCCTCGGCCCGGTAAGTTAAGAAAGCCATGCAAAGACAAGCAGACAGCCGACAGCAGGCAGTTGCTTCAATTTAGCTGCACATCTCGTGCGGCGGCAACATAAGTAATTACCACCAAAAGTGGCAGAAGTACAGTTGCCTTAATTAAGCAGCCAGCAGACAATGCAATGCAGCTCATGCTCACGCCGATCGCTGCCAGCGGCGCGGGGCAATTAGCAGCACCACTCACAAGTCAGCCACTTCCTCAGCTCAGCTCAGCTCAGCTCAGCTTAGATCGGCTCTGCTTGGCTCAAGAGTGCATGAAATTTTATGCGTGCTGCATGCCAGGCCAACTTTTGCCAACTGCTGCGCCTGGCTAGAGTCAGTTGCAATCCGAAGATGATACTGCGCACACGACATGCTTGGCGCAGGTCCGGTCCACACACACACACACACACACAGTAGACACACCCACTCGCACACACACACACCCACACCCACAAATACTCATATTCGCTCATGGATCTGGTCTCCTTGCAGCTCCACGGATACGGAGGACTACATGCAAATCCAGATCGCCCAGCAGCAGCAGCAGCATCATCACCATCACCAGCATCCGCACCAGCACCAGCACCAGCATCAGCATCATTCGCATGCCCTGGGCGTTGGTGAGCAGCCGCCGTTGCCACCGCCGCCGCCACCACTGCCGCACATGATGCCGCCGCCCATGCCGATGCTGCTCTCGCCGCTGGCTGGCGATGCCACCAGCAAGTCACAGAAGCCCAAGAAGCCGCACGGCTCGACGCCGCCCAGCAGCCAGGACACGGCCACGCGCAAGCAGCACCAGCCGCTGTCCGCCATTTCCATACAGGATCTGAACAGCGTACAGGTGAGTGCCAGGGAGGAGAAAGGGGCTGACTCAACCCTGTAGACACTTTAGGGCGCTTCGATCAGATCTAGTTAGCTGGGAGAGAGCTAGTTGATTGTTCGATATGGAAAATAGTTTGTATTCCGATTTTCATTGAGTTCACTAGTTTGCTCTAATACTATTTTTCATTTTTTCTAAATTACAACACGAAAAATATTACACGAAAACACGAAACACGTAACACACACGCGAATAAACCATTGTCGAATATACGGTAATATCGAGAAATCGCGGACAATCCATTGAATCGTTGAATTGCTGTAGGTTTTGTATGCACGGCAGGATCTTAGCTTAGGCAAAGAGTAGAGCGATGTCGACATATTCTAGCTTAGATATGGCTGCAAATGCAATTTGTGTTCAAATCCAACTGTGTGCTGATTCCGCTGCACTTTCCATACAGCTGCGCCGCACGGATACACAGAAGGTGCCGAAGCCCTATCAGATGCCCGCACGGAGTCTCAGTATGCAGTGTCTGACTACCAGTACGGATACATACTTGAAGACCGATCTGATCGCTGAGCTGAAGATCTCCAAGGACATACCCGGCATCAAGAAGATGAAGGTGGAGCAGCAGATGGCCAATCGCATCGACTCGGAGCATTACATGGAGATAACCAAGCAGTTCACTGCCAACAACTATGTGGATCAGGTGAGTCGCAGGTGTCGACTGGGTCGGCAGAGTGGGAAGTGGTGGGGGGAGTTGGGGACCTGGAGCTGGATTGTCATACGTATCAAAGATCTACTTGCAGATTCCAGAAAAGGACCAGGCTGGCAACGTGATACCCGACTGGAAGCGCCAGATGATGGCCAAGAAGGCGGCCGAGCGCGCCAAGAAGGACTTCGAGGACCGCATGGCCCAGGAGGCCGAATCGCGCCGCCTCTCACAGATACCGCAATGGAAACGCGATCTGCTGGCGCGTCGTGAAGAAACTGAAAACAAATTGAAGTAAGTGGGCGTGCCTTTGCACTCGTTTATCTTAGGGGGCCTTGTGGCGCAGCTGCAGCGGACTCCAAACATCACCATCACACACCACACCTCCACACAGCACACAGCACACCTCCACACACTATCTGACCCGTCGCCATCTCGCCATCTGTGCCATTTTGCAGAGCGGCCATCTATACGCCCAAGGTGGAGGAGAACAACCGTGTCGCGGACACCTGGCGCCTGAAGAACCGCGCCATGTCCATCGACAACATCAATCTGGCCAGCTGCAATGTGGAGCACTACTACCAGCAGGTGCAGGTGATGCCGATGCCAGCCGGGGCCCAGTTCAACAAGGAGAATCAAAGCGATGGCAAAGCCAACGATGTCGAGCAGCAACAGCAACAACAACAGCAACAGCAGCAACAGCAGCAACAGCAACAACAGCAACAGCAGATGAAACAGGATGCACTTGATCAAAACGAGGACGAGCAGGACGACAGCGACAATATTATTCCATGGCGGGCACAGTTGCGCAAGACCAACAGTCGCCTGAGCTTGATCTAAGCGGCAGCCGAATACGCGTTTAAGTCTCTTGTAGTGCATTTTTTTTTTTCAAATCATCCAATATTTTTTTTTTTTTTTTTTACTCCAACATGAAAATACTTAACTTAACGAACGTGCAATCACACATAATAAGGGATATATTCGTATTTAATGGATATACATCATAATTATAAGAAATCTATATTTGTAATCTGGTGAAGAGATCGATGGGCTCCAGAGGAGTGCCCTGCGATACTTTAAACCTGCTCCAAATCCAAGGCAAGCTTTAGATCAAAACAAAATTGAAAAACATAATTAAAAAAAAGAATGAGAAGAGAAGAGAAGGAACATATATACATGATCAAGGCATTGTATATGTACTATATAGAAATTATTAATATACGCATACAACTTTTTTTTTATTGTTATTCCTATGTTAAAAAAAAAACGATAACCAATCGAGCGATCGGAATCGGTTTGCATGCATATTCATAATTATTTAAACTTTTGCAGTAAATTCCATTTGGGTGTTGTGCGAGTCTCGATTAACGATTATCGACCATCAATTAACGATTATCGATTATTATAATACATTAACGATTTTATCTAACTATCGAATTAATACATAATTACCTATTTTAAGCTTCCATTTTTTTTTTATCATTGTTATTTGTTTTTATACTTGGCTCAATAATATGATTAAAATTTTACTATACATATTAGGCATAACGGAATTTCTTATTTAGTGGCGGTTAAAAATTACCTAAAGCAACTCGATAAAAATGTATGATATGAGAGGAAGGCGCTCTGAAGTCAAAACTACTCGACTGGGAACTACGCTAGAAAAATGTGTATAAGTTATCGATTTTTATCGATAATAAGGGATAAGTTTTTACATATATACGCGAATATGCATTTTGGATGCTATTTCGGAGCTACAGACTGGCGGACAGACTGACAGACGTGCCAATTTCTACCCTAGCTAGTTCTCTTGATAAAAAAGAATATTGATCTTTATGGACTCTGTCAAACTTCCATCTTTATGTTTCATAAAATTTCACAAAATCATTATGCCCGTGCTTCGATTTTTAGCGGGCTCAGTGTCTTCATGGGAAATGCTTCTTTTGGTTTGTTTTTGTCTGAATATTATTTCCTCTGCGTTATTTATGAGTGTGTCTTGTCTAGTCTAAGAAAGGTACTTTCGAGTCTGATAATTTCACGAAATACATAATTTATAGATATTCGTATGCTCTTTAACCTATCGTCGTATCTCATTGAGTGAGTCAGGTAAGGAAATTATTTATAAGCACGCTAAATAGTATATTTTCTTTTGCGTTTTTTCCCACTATATACCTAGTGCTGCACAGTGGTACAAATGCCTAAAATATTGGCAGAAATTAGAGATATATAAAAATAGATATTCTGTCGAAGCTAAATTTTAGACAGGTCGAACAACGTCTTTTAACTGTCCATTTATATTATTTAAATTTACTGTATTTCTAAAAAAGCTGCAACATGACGAAGTTTTATTTTTTTATTTTTATTTTATAAATTTTGAGTAAGGTCAGAAGATGCAAAATGTAATTTCGGAATGGAATTTTTTCTCTGGACCACTGTAGACTGTAAGGAGATAATGTCAGTTGTCAATCATTGATATCAGAACATATTTTTAATAAGGTTGAAATTAAATTTGTAGGTAGTCGAAATTGATTAATTGGGCAGACTTTGAGTGATAAATTATTACAGTTGGCCCGATGCCTATGCCCACTGTTCTGTTGATAAAGAGAGTGTGCGAAATGTTGATATTGATAAAACTGGTCATAGTTAAATCGGGCCCGAGCATGATAGATCGCACAAACAGGGAAATTTTTATAAAAGTGAAGAGTCTTCGGTATCATCGATCACAGAATGAACAAGGTTCTGATTGTCGACCATGCGAAGCGTTACTATTTGTCTCTTGCTGCTCGCCGCGGCCAGCTGCCTGATCGGCTCGAGTGTATGTTAACAACCGGCGATAAGAAGCGCTTCGATTGGTAGTTGCCAATAATTAAAATTGATCTGTATCCTCTTCTAGGGCAAAGCCGTAACAGGCGGGGCCGAGCTGGTTAATTTCGAGGCTGTTGACTTGACTTGAATTTGATCGATGAGCTGAATGACGATTATGTGGACGTTGAGGAGTCCAGATTTATCAGCTTGGTGCACAAGGCTCTCCAGCTGGTGCTGAAAACACTGCGCGGAGTCAACTGCACCATCAAGGAGGTCGCCGAGACACTGAACGCGACCGCCAAGTATGTGGACACCAGCGACGCCTGCGGCGTGAGCCTGACCAAAGATGTGGCTGCCATTGTCAAGAACTGCACGACCATCATCGCCATCTGCAATGACATCATCCATATGCAAAGCAAGCTATGCGCCATCCCTGATGAGCCCAAGTCCAATGCGTTGTCCCCCAGGAAATGCTTCTGGCAGGTGCTCAAGGCTGTCGTGAGGCTGGCCAGGACAATCCGAGCCACCCGCAGGCAGATCGCCAGTCTACCCTCCGACACCAACTCCTGCTTTGTCAATGCCACCAGCGAGGTGAAGGCCAGCTACGACAGCTTTGTGCCCAACATCAATGCCTACTTTGATTAGATGGAAATCTAAGTGGAAAATGTCTTGTATAAGTATATATAATATATAATATAAAATATGTATAAAATTTAACTTTTGTGTCTTGTATAAGTATATATAATATATAATATAAAATAAGTATAAAATTTGGCTTTTGTGCAAAAAGGAAATACAGTTTGTATACCTACTGCTGATTCACATAAGTAAACTGCGTGTTATTCAGTCCAAGGTGCAGAGGAAGCTAACTGAGTTCACTTGGTTTATTTATGATCATCAGGCACATTGAGCGTGAACTGAGCGTGAAGAGTCAAAGCTCAATAGCCGACAAAAAGTATATCGAAAGAGTAGATCAGCTAAAAAACTAGCCTAGCACTCAACTGAAAGATCTGTTAGGTCCCCACACCTTATGGATAGAGTCTTAACTTAAGATCTTTCAAATCACTTTACCCTCTACTAACTAAGGCGTTTCTTATCGATTATATTATCATATCTGAGCCCCTTTTAACTCTTAGCCATATATGAGCTAAACGAATGAAGGGCAAATAGGTCAATGGAATACTAGAAGATGCACCATTATATTATCAATTTATAATATATATTATTATCAATTTAGAAAGTGAACTTGATGAAAGACCCAAAGAGAGATTACAACTCATTAAAATTGCTTTATATATATCATTTATTTGCTTGGCTTACATGTTAAGGGAAAAAAAAGAAGAATTGGTAGATTGGTAGGACGCTGCTTAGTTGCTGGTCAGCTTGGAGCAGCTCTTCATGTTGGAGGGGAACTGGGTGTAGTAGCTTGTCAGGGTGTTGGTGGCATCGCTGATGCAGGAGACGGCATTGGGACCGGTCTGCGGTATCTTCTTGGCCAATTTAATGGCGGACTTCACCTGCTTGTACAGGCTGAAGACCTGGGCGAGGGTCTTGACGGCACAGCTGTTAGTGATCGACTGCTCATCGGGCTCCTCGGTGCTGGCACAGATGGTGGACTTCAGATTGATGATGTTGCTGGCGGTGTTGATGATCTTCAGGTTGGCATTGATCAGATTGGTCACGTCACTGGTGGCATCAAGGCCGCAATTGACGATATCAGCATTGAACTGCAGCGCACTGTCCTGGATGCCCACGACCCACTTGATGATGCAGTTGAAGCCCTTAACGCTGCGCAGTGCCGCCTTGATGCTCCACCACACGGCCGAGAAGAAGCCAAACAGCTCCGGATCGAAGGCCACTTCACCCTCCATATCAGCAAAGTCGATGGGCTGGAACTCCATGTCGATCTCGGGCACACCGCTCAGCGGTTGCCAGGTGCCGGCATTAGCCTGTAAACCCACAAGGCGTACGCCAATCTAGTTAATCCTCTATTCAGGTTTTGAGCACTCGCTCCATACTTACGCTGAGCACGCAGAAAGCTGCAAGCAGAGCAAACAGTGTGAACTTCATGTTGAGGCTATCAAAAGTCTTCTCGTTGGTCTGCGCCACCGAATGGGGCGCTTTTATAGCTCTGGAGTGGAATAGTTTGGGCTACCGTTTGCGCCAATAGATAAGGCCAGAAGCGCAATATTGCTAAGACAACTCACCTGTTTATCGAGCTGCCTATCTAGCCACTTAAACCAATATCAATAGCAATACCAATACCAATACCAATGCCAATGCCAGTTGCTGTTGGGCTTAGCACAGAAGCCGCAGGCATTTGCTCGGCTACAATTTTTTGGCCAGGCGACTTCATATCAGCTGATAAATTGATAAGCAATTTAAGCAATTATAACTGAGTTGGCTCAAACGTCGCAATAAAAATGCTTATCAATTAACTCTGCCCAATTGTTTATTTACTCTTTCGTGTGATTTATGGTGCATATGCAAAACTTTGATTGTTTCTAGGCAAGAGCGTTATAAGCCATACAATTCGCATATACTTTTAGGCTGCCCCATATAAAGAATATACATATATGAGCACACTTTAAGGCGTCTTCAAGCTAGACCTGGGAATAACCTATTCATATATAACTGTGCTTTATACCAAGCAGATTCGCCCCATACTTCAAGAAATCCAATCCAAATGAAAACAATTTCTTTTAAGTTTGAATTACCAAAAAAAATTTTATTTCTTTTATAATAGAGTATCCGAAAATGTATTGAATAGCAATTTGTATTTTATTTTATATTATTTTTTTATGATGGAATTTATATATATACATATATAAATATATATACAAGTATATATTTATTTATATATATATACATAATTATTAAAAATGTAGCTAGGTTTTGGGCATAAAATGGATTTTTTTCTTGTTTTAATTAACATAGTTAAGCTTATTCCATATTTTCAATTGAGATTTTGTCTTTATTTTGCAGTTTATTTATTTCTGTATGCTAATTGTAGCTGTTGATGATATTTGTAATGTGCAAAAAGACAGAGATAGCTAGATAGATGGAGTGAGACGGAAGTGCCAGCTAATAGTGTACCTGTGTCTGTGTGTATGTTTGTATTTGTATGTATTGGTACTGAGATGCTTAAAGCAGAGTAAACTGTGTGTTCAGATGTCTATCTTTCTCTATCTTTCTCTGTGTGTGTGTGTGTGTGTGTGTGAGTACGAGCTATTTGATATATGGCCGAAGCCACTTTCTGCTTAACAAATCCATTCAAATACATAACATACATACATACATCGGCACATCAGTATCTGTCTATGTCTGCGTGTGTGTGTGTGTGTTTGTGTATGTTGACTCATTCATTGCTTGCCCATTGCCATTCTGATGTTATTGCTTGATCATTTTCATCTGTTACAATTTAGTTTTTCTTGTCGAAATTGTTACAAAAAGTTCCATTTGTTTTTTCCAAATATGATTTTCATATATTATGCCATAATTTAAATTTAAATTTTAATTTTTGTTTCTTTATTTTTTTAATGCTACTTCAATTTCTCTTTTCGTTTAATCTTAAGTAAAATTGAATCAAATTCCTCAGTGCTTGCAGTGCATACCGTAATTAGTTTTTTGGGTTTGTTTTTGTTTTTGCTTTTTGTCTGTTTATGTTTCACTTAAGAGCTACGAAAAATTTTAACTTTTTGTATTATATTTGTATATGTACGTAATGTATATATATATATTTATTCAATAGTGTGTATATATATTTCTGTGTGTGTGTGTTTAGTATATTACATTGCGTAAAGCATTTACATATATATATATATATATGTATCTAATAGCGCTTAGTTGAAGAATTTTCTAGTTTCAGTTACTATTTACAATTTACAGTTTAAGCAGTTTAGAACTCTTCGATAGAAATACTTTCAGACTTGCGTAAGTTTTTATCTTGTATCATTTTCAACGTTTAGTTTAGATATATGTATATATATAAAGTTGTATACTTAAAGGAAAAGTAGTTGTCTTTGGTTTCGATGCTTTCCAATTGTGTTTAGCTCCAAAATCAAAAACCGAATCAAAAGCTACGAAAGGAACTGAAAAGAAATTATGTACACACATAAATTCATGCTCTAAGAATTGCATTGTTTTTTGAAAATAAAATATATTTATTCTCTCAGTATAAGTGTGAGTGTGTGTGTGTGTGAGTGTATCTGGTATTTCTTAAAGCATAAATAAATAAATTACAATTAGAATTAGGTATTCACTAGAAGCATTATCTCGTTTATCTATAAAGATATATTATATATATATTCGTATGTATGTTGGTTGCACACACACATATAGTTCTTTACATATATATACTGTAATCTTTACAATCCAATAGATTTTGTAGTTCTTTTAGTTGTTGCTGTTACTTCCTTTACAATTTCTGTTGCCTTAGTTTCTAGGTTTTCATAAGACTTGCGTTTCATGTTGTTTTCCATTTTGTTCAACAATTCCCTTATATGCATAGAAAAAAATATATATTCTTGTAAATATGCTATGTGTTAATGTATGTGTGTCTGTTTCTATGTGTCTACCATCTATATGTGTATATACATATATGTATGTATGATCGTCTCTACACACACATATACATTCCTCGCAATTCTAGTTTATGTGTAGAACATTCCTCAGGTTATACGCGTCTGTCTGTCTGTCTTTCAATGAGTGTTTGTGTGTGTGTGTGTGTGTCTGTCTGTTTGTCTCTGTCTCTGTATCTGTATCTGTATCTGTGTAGGTGTTGTCAAGGCATTGTTGTCATAATATATTATGGTATGGTGTCATATGTGTCTGACTTGTTTCGTTATTTATACAAAATACACGAAAATATATTCCTTAGTTTGTCTTGGACCCGGTTGTTCTCCGAACAGGTGTTTTTTAAACCCACTTACAGTGCGTTGCTCAACACTGTGTGCAACGCATGGCAACACTGTCTCTCATTGCACGTGTTCTTCTCTTATATCCTCAAACTACAATTTCAATTTCAATTTCTTCTCATCAGAATGTGAAGCGATAGCGGAAAGAATTTCCAATTGCAATTACGATTACGATTTCTGTTCGCAGGTGAAAGTGGAACAAAGAAAATAGAAAACTGATTGGAATTCTTATTTTATTAAAGTTTTTTTTTTTATGTTTTAGTTGAATATTTTTTTGTGTTCAATTAGCAAACGTATTGTGTTCTCTAATAAATTCACTAGATTGTCATTTGCTAAATATTATTCCGTTTTCTCCCCTCCTAGCTGCCTCCTCTAATCCGCTGCGCTGAGTGCGCCTCGATTGGCACAATTCGTGGCAGCCTCCGGGCACATGACAGCGGGGCATTTGCTGCACGATCCAAAGAGAGTTGCCACAAATTATCCCACATAACGATGGCACACAGCACAGCCTAGACAGATATATATATATCATATATATCATGTTCATATGTCTACCTATATGCGTGAAATCCAAAACATAATACCCAGTCGAAAACTCTGAGTGCCGCCCGCTGCCCAAAAGCGAGCTCGAGCCAAGAGCTACATAGGACCGGGCGGCAGACAAAGTTTTCCCATCTATCTTTCATCTAAATTATATATATATGTATATATATTATTTTTTACGTGTGTGTGTGTGTACTTAAGACTAGGCTTAGATCTAACTACGATTAGGGTTTACAGTAGTTAAGGATTTGAGTTGCTTAGTTAATTACCTTGCCTTATATTCAATAGTGAGATTTGATTTTGTTCTTTTTGTTTTTGTTTTTGTTTTCAACAATATCTTAAATCAATTGGGTTGCAAATTTTCAAAACATAATTGACTTTAGCGCGTTTTACATTCAAAGCACTAGCAAAAGGTGATCTAATGAAAAAATTTCCAATAAATTAATATAATACATATATATGTACATAGATACATATATATATAGATATATTTAATATACAATCGGATAAGTTCATCTTGGATTTTTCATTCTTATTATTATGTGGTTCAAAATGTTTTTAGCGGAATATTTGTTATGCAAATGTGTTTCATTGTTTTTGCTTTCATAAAGTAATTATGTATATATGTATATACATATATACATATCTATATTTATATACATGTGTGTATAATCTTACAGTTCTAGAGCTGTGTATAACTATTTCGCTATTCCTGTTGTTCATTGTTCTTGTTCTTGTTGTTGTTGTTGTTGCTGTAGTTTCTGTTGTGTTAGTTAGTCGTGTTATAAAGTCGCTTAGAGTTTCCAATAGTCTTTAAGTATATATAGCTATATGTATATATGGGTGTTTGTATAGGCATTAGATTTTGTTGTTGCTTTGTTCGTAGGATAGTCGGGGCTTCTATACAGCCTGAGGGTCTGGGCGGGTGAGGACGGGCGCTTAAGTCTCTGTGAAAGTCTTTGATTGAATCTGAAACACATCGATATATGCATACATGTACATATGTCTACATATACACATATATTATGATTATTATACATATACACATGGCATATATGTATGTATCTGTTTGTATGTGAAGAAGAATGTGAAGAATTATGCTGTTTAGCCAGAGAACGCGGAACTCTTTCTGGGTTGTGCATTTCTTAAATAGAGTGTGCGCATGGGACTCTATGCATGTTTGTGTGAGTGTGAGTTATATATTGGATAAGACTATCTGTGTAGTGTACAATAATGCATCCCGATTGCATCTATGCAACTGACAAAATAGCATCTGCTGCTGCTTCTCTGCTTTGGCTTCTTTTGCAATTTACAACAGTTTACAAATAGTTGATTTTGTTTTTCTTCTTATATACTTGCTACTACACTTAACTAGATTTAAGTTTCAAAAAAAAAATATATATATATGTATATAGACAGTTATATATATATACGGTTAGGTATGTGCTTCTATATAATTTATACGCGAATATCTGTATACTTTGCTGTTATTTCTGCTGGTTTTCTTGTATGTGAAGCAAATGCTTTGGCTAATATCAATCATACGCCGCATGGGCCCGTCGCCTTTGCTCGATTCCCACAAATTTGCATTTGAATTGTTTGTTGTTTGTTGTTTGTGTTTGGGTTTTCGTCGTCTTCTTCTTCTTTTTTGTTTTGGTTTTTGCTTTTTGTGGGTATTAGTACAATTAAATTTAGATATCACAATATAATCATCTTTTAATTTTGTTTGCCAAAGAAGTGAAAACAATAATAAAAATATTATTATAAAAAAAAGTTATGTGTGTGTGTGAGTGTGTGTGTAGTGGTGTGCATGGGGAGAACAATTGCCCTTACTTATTATTGAGTTTCTTGCATAAAATAAATTGTCACTTAAGTGCTAAAGCAACGCCTTCTTGTGTTGAGAATTGTATTTTTCTTTTCTTGATTTGCTTAAATTTAAAAATAATTTTATATTGAATTTTTTAATTTTTTTGCTTTTGCTTAGAATGCAGCTATGCATTTTTCCCATTAGTTGAATATAGACACAAAAAGAAAGCATATATAAATATAAAAAACTTGTGAACTGAAAATTAAATTCGTGCGCCCGGAAGTAGGCAACACTTTTTCTTTATCTTTTTCATTTAATTCTTCCTCTGGTTCGCATTCGCATTTTCGCAGAATTTCCAATAGTTGTTGCTGTTCATTTTCCAATGAATTTTCTTAAGTCTAAATTCTGGTTTGCAGCTCCAAATGCATGAAACGCTCTTGACCTTTGGCCAGCAGCGAATTGTTTCAGTTTTGTCGCATTTGGAATTGGGTTGGAATGTTGATATTCGCATTGAGTGTTTGTTGTTGTTGTTGTTGTTGTTGTTGAGTTTGACATCAGTTGAACATTTGTCCAAGTTCGCAGACGCATTTCCATTTGGTGGGCAGCAAAAGAGTAAAGTGTTTGCGCATTAGAAATGTAAACGTGGACACGATTCGCAGCTGGGATTTCGAATGCTGGATGCACACACACAGACGAATGGTTAGATATGCTAGATGGATGTTCTATTCGAGCACTACATGGACTGCGCTGGATTGGATGGATGGTGAGCTATCGCTTAGTGGGTATTGGCCCGGCCGCTGGCCAGCTCTGCTTGCAGCTTACTTTCCAAATAGGTGGCGATCTCGTTGGCGTTCTTGTTGAACGCCACCATCATGGCCGTGTTGCCCTCGGCGTCGAGCGCTTGCAAATTGGCGCCAGCTGCCACCAGCATGACGCAGATGTCGCGGCGATTCTGTTCGGCGGCAATGTGCAGAGCTGTCTGACCGCTAAGAGACGGAACGAGAGTTTTATTTATTATTTATTATTAGGAGGCAAGAGGCAAGAGTTAGTTAGTTAGCTGCAATTTACCGTTCCTTATCCGCCATGTTGATGACACGTCGTGTGGCCGACGAGATGATGTATTTGACAATGTCCTTATGATTGTATTTGCACGCAAAGTGCAGCGCCGTCTGTCCGTTCTTGTTCACTGATTGTAATGAGTATCCTTGTTCATGTAGTGCACGTAACTGCAATAGACGCACATCGAAACGAGCACATTAGACCGTGAGACAGACTGGGAGCGAGTCAGTAAGAGAAAGACAGAGAGAGAGAACGAGCGACAATAACGGGGGAAATAACGAGGAAAAGCCTCGGGCAAGAGCTACAAAGCGCGCGCGTCGCACACATAACTAAAGCAGACGAAACAAAGGATAAAAATCGGTACGAGAACAGAAAAGTTAGAGCTACCATATTCAGATCGCCGCGCTGGGCCGCTAGTAGTACGGCATCGGAAGTTTGCTCCAGTATAGGGCTGTTGTTTGTACGTTTGTTATATATATATTATGTGTGTGTGTGTGTAACGTCAAATGTGCACAAGTAGAGTATGTGTGTGTGTGTGTGTGTGTGCATAGAAAGTAGAGAAATAAAAAGAAAAATTCAAGCATCAGTTTTGATTCATTTGCCATTAGATCAGGTCGAAGATGAGATCTCTGCAAGAAATGATCAGTATATGAGCGAGATAGAGATAGAGCAGATAAATACATATATATATATAGTATATATAGAGAGACAGAAAGAGAGTGAGCAAGAGTGCAACAGATAAAATACAGAGTACCTGAATCCACAACCAAAAACATCTTCGTTAAAACTGAATAAACGATCTTTGTTGCTGCATGCAGAAGCAAAAGAAAAACGTTAATTGTAATGCGAAAAGTAAGCAGGAGTTGCAGATAGAATGGAAGAGAGAGAGAGAGACAGAGAGAGAGCGATAGTAGTGTGTTGAGTATGAGTGATGCAAACGCCAATTCTTAGAGCCGCACAGCCAATTGTTGGTAAAGCTTAAAGCTCATTGAGAGAGTGAGGGAGAGAGAGAGAGATGGGAATAGTGACTGCTTGGCTAGGCAGTGCCATAGCAAACAGCTTTTCGTCGCTGCAATTTTGTTCACAATTTTGTGGGGCGCATGAGGAATGAGATTTGAGATTGCGATTGCTGAGACTTAAATTGCCTATGGCCGTTTACCTCTTCCACTTCATCACTTTAATGGGCTTGGAACCAATTTGCAAGTCCTCATCTTTTTGTATATGTGTGTGTGGGTGTACGTGTAGATGTACACAAATATTTATTCATATATATATGTGTGTGTGTGTGTGCGTTGATATATTAAATTCAAAAAGAAATTGATAAATTGTTAGTACACCATTTACCATCGAGTATTTACATAAGGAATGCAGCAAGCAGAACACAAATATCTAAATTAAGTTTAATCGGTTAATCGGTTAATTGGTTAATTGCTTAATCGGTTAAACCATTCATAAATGCCGTGGCAAACCTACCCCATCGCAATTGAAAACAGTAGGTGGTCTGGTATTGTGTTTTTTGGTTGTTGTTGTTGTTGTTTTTTGATTTTGGATATTTGGAGTATTTTTTGGTCAATTGATTTTGATTGGTGGTGAGGGTTTTGGTTTGTATTTTTTGTTTTTTGGTGGTGGACGAGAACGGAATACGGTTTAGCCCTTGTCGCTGTTACGTGTAACTGTTAACGTAAGCGGCGATTATATACCAAATATATTGAAAATACTCATATAGAAATGCTTTACTTACATGTGGGCGTGGCAAGGACTAAGCTGTATTCGCTCCCGCCTCGACGTGAGCGCTGGGTGAGGGTCTTTTGGTGAGTGTGTGTGTGTAGGTGTGAGTGTGCGTGTGCTTGTCTCAGTTAGTGTTAGTTACGTAGTTTAGTTAGTAAACATGCCAAAATAAAAAGCTAATACACCAAAAGTCGAACGGATAAAACAAAAACAAACTTAAGAGAGAGAGAGAGATGGATAGAGAGAGAGAGAGATGGATAGATAAGGGACTTGATTGGACTAAGGGCAGTGGGAGTTGCTGCTGTTGGTCGCTTAAAGCTCGATGCGCTTCTTGCGATAATAGAGGTGACAAAACATGCGCCTATCTATATAGGGCAGCTGCTCGGCCGCCTGCTGCTGGTAGAGGTTCAGCCGCTGTTGCAGCGCCACCTCTGGGGGCGTCGGTGGCGGCGGCGTTTGGGCCGCCGCACGTTGCCAACAGCGTGATAACAGAAGCCTACCCGTGTTGCCGTTGTTGTGGCCCTGGGCCTGGTCCAGCTGCCGTCGCTCGTTCTGCGCCTGCCGCTGCGAGAAGGCCGCAAAGGAGCGCTCCTGGTCGGGCGTCTGTGGCATGGTGGCCGCCTCGTGATCCAGTATGTACAGCTCGTCGATGGCAATGTCGCATATGTAGTGCAAGTGCTCCTGGGCGCGATCGATGCGAAAATAGTGCTCGGCGGTGCAGGCTGCAAAGTGGAGCGAACGAATGTTGCTTAGCCATGGAGGGAACGAAAAGAGGGGCATGCCCCGGCTGCGGCCACTTACAGTCAATGAAGCACCAGTCCTGCGAGACCTTCGGATAGGATATGGACTCCTCGAACTTGGCGTTCAGCATGTTGCGCACATGCTCCAGATCGCACTGCGACTCGATCTCGATTTGGCCCAGCTTGTTGGCCAGCTTGCGCAGCATTTCCTTGTCGTAATGGTATTGCTCGTACTGCTGCATGGTTACCCTCAGTATGGCCAGCTGCATCTTCTCCAGCGGATTGACTCTGTGAGCGGAAGACAAGAGACGCTTAGAGCAATTGAAAGTAAAGGCAGGCAGTGAGAGGAAGCAACTGAGAGGGCTAAAGGGGCTAGACTATGGACTATCAGGGACACATAGAGAGGTAGAGCTATATAAAGAGGGATCAGTCTAAAAGAAACTCGTTCCATGTTGATTGCTTACAAATAGGACACCTCTTTCTCTACTTACTGGACATCTCCGCGTCCGTGCTTGCGCTTGGCTAGCATCAGCGCCTGGTTGAGCAGCTCGATCTCGATGATGGAGGGCTTGACGCGACAGGCCTCGCCGTCGACCTGCATGGGAATGGTGCGTTTGGTGATGATCTTGGCCTTGCGGCACTGGCAGATGCAGGTGCCGTGCATGCCCGCCTGCAGCATGGGCAGCTGGTAGGTGGTCAGGCCGACGACCTCCATCAGGCCGTCATCGATGCTGGGCTTCGTCTGGCCAAAGGAGTCGTTCCAGGGATGTGTGCCGCCGCCATAGCTGTGGATGGCAATCAGTCAGCAAATGTTGGAGCAACACAGACAGACAGTGGCTAGCCCTACCTGGGTATGTTGAGAAAGAGGACGGCATGGCAGCCGGCATCGCGCAGCTTGCCAGTAAAGTCCTGGCCGTCGCACTCCAGCGTCACCCACTGTGAGAGATTGCGGTACTGGCGCAAAATCAGATCCTTGCCGCCCATCTGGCCGTAGTACATCTTGTTGCGCAAGCGCGAATTGAACCGCTCCGGATGGGCCTCGCGCGCCTCATGGAACTCCAGCGCAATGTGTGCGTCCACACCGAAGCTGAAGTAGTTGTTGATCACGTTCAGCGGCACATTCGGCTTGCTGCGATCCACGTGATCGTCGGTGACGTCATCGTTGGGCGTCACCTTCACACGCCAGCGGTCCATTAGCACGCACTGCGACATGCCGATCTCTCGCAGTATCTTGCCAATGGGCTCATCCGTGTAGCCCTGCGGGAACAATCACAGTCAGACATTGAAAAGGCTTCTTTTGGATTTTCACTTACGCCACCCCAACCGAGAGATCGGGCGAGATCATTGCCGGTGCCCAGGGGCAGTACGCCCACCGCCGGCGCCGGCTGCAGCGGCGGATGGATTTGATCCAGCACGGAGAGCACCCATCCAACGGTTCCATCGCCGCCGCAGGCCAATACTCGCAGATTCGGAGCCTTGCGGTACATGTCCAGACTGCAGAGAGATAACGATTACAGATCCAGAATGAATAATGAACTAGTTACGCTATATGTGGTTCTTTTATTGAACTATTATGAGTTAGTTTTGAACTAGTTCTAAGCTTTTGGCTTTTATATTAAAACTCAATAGAGAATATTAGCTAATGAACTAGTTTCGTTTGCATAGTTACATATTACATAGAACATAGTTCATGAACTAGTTCGATTTGTTAAAAGTAAAATCAGGTAACTTAAACTGTGAATAGCTTGTTGAGCTCATGAACTAGTTCATTTAGCAAGTTTCACTCGTTTCTGGCACAGTCTGAACTAGTTCATTTAGTATTTATGGAATCCGGTAATTGCATTTATATGTAGTTCATGTGGTGCCATGCTGGACTTCCACTTACCCCATTTTGGGACCGCCTTGCGTCAGATCGAATACCTGGCGTGGATTGAGCAAATGCTGGAACTTGCCCAAGAGCTTGACGCCCTGATTGCCACCGGACTTGGGATTGATAAAGACAATGACCGGTATTACATCCGGCGATGGAATGGGCTTCACAATGAAGGCGCGCGGCTCCTTCTTCTCCTCCTTGCCCTTCTGGCGCTTCTGGGTCTGCTTCTTACCCTTGCCGCCAGCACCGCCCCCGCCAGCACCGCCACCAGCGCCGGCCGCCGCGCTGCTCTTGTTGCTCACGCGTATCGACGACTTGAAGTTGCCCTTGGTCGGCAGCTTCACAATCCACGACGGTGGCACAATGATGGGCGCGTAGTTGCCTGCAAGCATACAAAAAGTCGTTAGATTAAGGAGGTGGGCAGAGCACGAAGGAGAGAGAGAGAGAGAGAGATTGTGGGAAAGGGATTTGTGTTGAGCTGATAAATGGTCGATTGCTTTAAGATGCGTGTCAACATTGGCAGCTGACCAACTCATTGCCCGTACGGCTAATTGAGAGCTCGTCTAGAGTGAGTAAGGAATGACAAGGAGCAAGGAGCAAGTTCCATTTGCCACCTTCAAAGCAATCAACAACAACAGCAGCAAGGCAGGGCAAGTTAATAGCATAGAAAATATGCCAGAAGTCAGTCACGAGTCACTGGCAAACAAAAGAAATTGAGATGAAGCCACATGCCACCACGAAGCAGGCACAGAGACGACACGCCAAGGCCCTTGCCTCAAGACAAGGCGCAATTATGAATACCACAGCAGCGAACGGGCAGGTGCCGAGACAGTAAGAGAGAGGGAAAGAGCGAGAGAGAGAGAGAGGTGGGCCTGATGGAGCTAGCCAACTTGCAAGACAGACCAGGGCGGCAGCAAGACAATGCCAGCTGCCGAGCTGATCAAGTTGAGATACCCAATGCAGGCAGCCTGTTGGCCAAGCGAGGGTGGATGGGGGCGAGGGGATATACATATGTATATATATGTGGTGATGTTATTGCTCTAGGCCTTACGGATGCCCGCCTGTAATTGTATTTTGCGCTTTATTTCGTTGTCCTGTGGCAACGCCATTGTCTCATGGCCCCTGTGAGTGTGTGTGATTGTGTGTGTGTGTCGTCTGTGTGTAATGCGATGCTGAAGAGAGTGTGTTAACAAGACGCTCATTGAGACACTTTATAAAAAGCATTCAGAGCCTCCGTTCCGCACGCATTTCCAATGCAAACAGCCAACACAGTTGTGCGTGGGGTCATCATGGCAACCACCCGGCTGCCCAGCTGCCCAGCCATCCAAGCACCCCACACTCTCATCATCATCAATTCAGCCACAATCGAGTTTGCCGAGCTGTCTATGGTCAATTGTTTTGCCGCTCCGGGGTCTCCTTTTGTTGAAGCGCCAGCCACAGCCCGAGCCACAGTCAGAGTCAGAGACAGAGCAGCCGGCAGAAGTATTTTCATCTGACAGTCACAAGTTTCGGCATCTCGGCATATTAACTGCTCAAGAGCACCTCTTAGAGGCCGGCCAACACCAAGTGCAGCGCCCACTGCAAAACTTTCCTTGCCCATTCGCATCTGGCCGAGACATACGCAGCTCGGCCTCACATTGCAATTGGATTAAAGAGATGCAAATTCGAATTCGAACTCGTCTTTCGTATCAGCAGCTGCTTTATGGCGGCCTAACATTTATTTCAATTACAATTTTTGGTTCTGAGATCTGTAAAGCCATTGAGTCGTAGCCCAAAGTAAAACAGTTAACTTTTAGATTATATGGTTTCCATAACAATTCTATTGAAATTCCTGCTGAATGCAAATGCATATTGCTAAAAGCTAAATTTAATTTGATCGCTGAATGAATGAATAACAGATATAGTGCGGATTATAAAAATCAATTCAGTTCTCAATGGCTCATTCATAGAAATTTTATATACATTTGCTATGCTTTCAATTAGAGATGCTGAGACTCTATATCGAATCAATTGCGTACGGGGACAATGCAGAGGATCCGTTATGCAAATGGAATCCGAGCAACGGAGGAGAGTCCCCATTCGAGTTGGCTTTGTTTCAGCTCTTTTTTGTGCAGCTTTCAATGAAACAAATTGAAAATAGAAAAAATCAAGCAAAACAATAAAAATCATTCATTTGCTTAGAATTATTTTACAGCGGGCAATCAATAGACGAGATGATTTAGACTGCGCAAAGGCCCCTTTAGTTGTAGTTCAGTGAGGAAAACTTTCAATCAAAATAAGTGTGTGTGTGCTTTGCATTTCAATTATAAAGGGACTGCTGATTCCCTAATTACGTTCTCCCGTCACCCGTGACGTCACCGAGGCAGCGAGACAAAAGGTTTTTACGGCAAAAGATTCATAGGACACGTATTGCGCTCATCTATTGACTTAGCCGGAGTCAAAGCTGAGAACTTGACAAATTGTCAATTCCGCGAAATAAATGCTAATGACCTAAGAACTTGACCCAAAAGCAAAAGCAAAAGCAACAACAACAAGAGCAGGTCGGAGTAGACAAGCAGCTGTCAAAGAGGCCGAAGCGGAAACGAAATTAAGCAAAGCGGAAATACTCTTTAGGGCCAAACAAATTGTCACGATGCATGAGATGCTGCGGAAGAAGCAGAGCGAGGAAAAACTAAGTTTCATTCGCTCTCTTAATGAAAAAGGTGAATTTCATTTCATTAGAAGCAATACAAGTGGAAAATAATGGAAATGAAAGAGTTTAAAAATGAATTAATTAGTTTATCTAATTAAAGAGGCAATTATATGATAATGTATGAATGGATGATGGAAAAAGAGAATGTTGGATATTATTTATATGCAGATAAAAGATATGTGAGGCAGACAGGAATAGTAGGTAATGGAATTCAATTAATTGGTTAACGAATTATTAGAGAATTATATATATATATATCAAAGATATATGAAAATATTATGAAAAAGGTGCTTAAAAATCAATTCATGTTATATAGATTGAATGTACCACATAAGAAAAAGAAATGTGGGAAAAATTATATGATATATTTAGATATGATACAAGATATATAAGAATGAAAACGAAAGAAAATTATGAACATGAAAATGATTAAAATGACACAAATTTGATTATTCAAATAATTAGTTAATTTATGATAATTATTTAATATAGATATAAATTTAGATAAATACTACGATGAAAATGGAAAACTTAAAAAATCAAATTATGAAAAAATATTATATATATATATATATATCGATATGTATGATACTCGCCAAATGAAAGATAATAAAAAGAGAGAGAACACAGAGAGTTCGAGATTTTGCGTACTTTTATAATAGATCTCAATTTTAAAAAATATTTTTTATATATTTAAAATTTTAAACAAGTTTTTCTTGAATCTCATTTAAGCAGGCATTAATATCCCATGCTCCGTAGGTTAGTGTATAACGCATTGAAATAAAATATACAAAACAGAACAAGAAAATACAAATAAAAATAAAAAACTACGCGTTGCTGTTGTTAATTAAGACAATGAGACACTGAGCGAGTGGACTGGCGATGGGCAATGGGCAATGGGCAATGGGCTAAAAGGGTCGAGAGGTGGATTCGCAATCTACCTTGTGGCTAAATGGACTTGGGCCGGCGAGTGGCGAATGACGACTGGCGAGTGGCGGCACTGCGAGGCGCTATTTTAATGCACAAATTTTAATTAAGTTAACGGGCCGGAATTTATTTGCATTCACGTCACGTAATTAATCAGACAGGACAATGGAGAGTGGCGAACAATGGCGGCCGCAGCGGCTGCCTGGGCATCGATAAGGACAATGGGCAGAGCTAAACTTACCGAGGCGGCACTCCTCGCCAATCTTGGCCTGATTGAAGCACGACTCCTTGTTATGGTATATCTCGTGGCACCACGCACAGGACAAAGCCACAATCTCTTTCGATCCGAATAGCTTGCTCTGCACCGCCTGCAATAATGAGAACGATAATAACGATGATGATGATGACGATAATGCTAACGCCAATGATTATTAGTTCGGCACTCATCGGCACTCACCTTGCCGCACTGCTTGCACTTGCCCTTCTCCAGCTTGCGGTGCACCCAGTGATGGTGGGTGGTCGTCTGCTCCCGGTACTGCCTGATTCCCACATCTCGGTATGTTGGCTTACACGCTAGTTGAGTCTTTTCATTCACCATTGGAATGCAGTTCTGATGTGCAATCAGCTGACAAGCCGAGCACTTCATGCGCTGTCCGCTCTTCTGCAAGTGCACACAGAGGCAAACGAGATGGGATTAGTTATGGGAGACAGACAGAGGCAGAGTAGAGGCCGTGGGAGAGGCCGATGGAGTCAGGTGTGTACATTAGCAGTTTGTCTTCAGTCAATTGGCCAATTGGTTAGCTAAGCTGACAGCCAGACAACTGGACGTCCGTTGGCCCATTGAGCAGCTGCTCCGCCACTTGTCTCCGAATAAACTTGTGCAATTAATCTCAACTCAAACTGTACGTCAGTCAATCTGTCACACGCAGCGCGCACACACAGCTCGCGAGTGGGGCCGCGGCAAGTGAAAGGTGAGTTACTTTTCAACGGCCATAAAAAAAAAACAACTCACTTCGAGCTCTATTCTCAGAGAAGCTGAGCATATTTTTAACGAAATATGTAGTTGACATTTCACGTGGGACTTGACGTGCTTGATATATGTATGTAGATCTAATGCCCTGTCTGTGCCGTTGAAAGCTCTAGCAAACTTTGGCATATTGCCCGCTTGAGTTAAGTGAGTTTGGCGTGCTTTGAAAGCTTCTGAAAGCTTAAAGTAATCGTATATATATCTCCTCAAGCACAAGTGACTATGTATTAAAGGATATTTCTCTCTACTATTCGCATACTTTGGATTATCTATAAACAGATTTTATATCAGTAGCAGGTCCCTTAAGCTGAAAGCTCATATATTCATAAAATTATAATATTAATTTTTTTCCTTCTTTTTCTCTCTCTCTTTCACTTGCCCTTTAATTGATTCGTGTCCTAGGCCAATGTACATACGTTTTGCCTTGCTCTAAGCCTAATCCCTTGCATTTGCTCTCCAGCTCTAATCAAATATACTGAAACCATATCGTGAATGTGCTCTCCACACATGCTGATAATTCAGTTGCTTGCCTTTGTTTAATCAACTGCTGCTAAACTTTACCTTTATATTTACCTAATGACAAACTACTTGTAACTTTTGACAGAACACAAAGGAAAGGAACGAGCAAACAAAGGGAAAACCTTTTATTCAGCCCCCATCGAGTGCGTGTTGGCAAACGCAACAACATCTAACAAAGTTATATATGTACTTTACAGATATATGTATGTATATATACGAGTCTGCATATGTATTCGCTGCATATTTGTGTATGTGGAGCAAGCACGCAAATAATAAATTACACGACTACATGAAGTTTCATTCTGCTTGTTGCTTTTCGCTTTTTGTGCTTCCCGCCGTAATTGAATTAGCTGTAAGCCCCCCCAAAAAAAAAACTCAGTCCAATATCGTCAGTCCAAATCCCATATGACTAACTCTGCGTGTGTGTGTGTGTGTGTGTGTGTTGTACTTACAATGCACTCCTCGTTGAGGCAGCAGAGATCGCCCGAGGCCGAGGTGGGCTTCCAGTAGTGCTCGCCCTGCACCGCATTCTCCGTCCAGTCGGGCACAATGCGAATCGGTCTACGGGCATTGCTCGACGAGGCCGTACGTCTGTATCGGGAATGGTTAAGATTGGAGTGGATAAAGTTAGTACTCTATATATTTAGTTATTCAATGATATGCCTAGCATATATAAAACATTTATCTCCATTATGAAACCACATCAATTGCACTTTTCTTAAAAAAAAAAAAACATAAATATTTATAGGATTTACATTAAAGTTCTCCCACATAATTATACATATATCATATACCTGGTACACATATAGGATATTCCCTAAATAGTTCTTTGCTATCTTTCATCTCTCAGTGATTTACTTACAACATATATTACTTAATCTTAATTTGTATTATCTGAAATATTTTAAATTCGAATGACTTTAAAGTCTTTCAAGTTGCCCTCGCCCAGACACCAATCAGATACACCTCTATATATATATACATATAATATATATACATATCTGATTAATTTGCACACTTGCCAACTCAATTGGAATGCTTCTTATTGGAATGTGTCTTATTCAGTGTCCATTTGGAAAGCCAGCGGAAATGTCAGTTGTCAGCTCTGTGGCGCACGACAATTCCAGCTGCTTTTCCCCGAAATTCCAGTGGGTGGGTGGTGCGGCGCGTGCAGCAACGGTACTCACCTCTTACGCCGCCAAGCGCCCACCGAGTCGAGTTTCCTTTGACGAAAAGCCGACTTTCTCTGCATGCCAATTGATGAGCGTCGAAAGCGACGCACTGCGACTGCACCGCCCCCCGCCCCCGCCCCCGCCACTGCTCCAGCTGCAGCTGCACCACTGCATGCAGGCGATGCGACAATGAATTCGCCCTGCTGATTCGACGCTGACGTCAACGCTGAATAGCTGCTGCTGCTGCTGTTACTGCTGCTGCTGCTGCTGCTGCTGTTACTGCTGCTGCTGCTGCTGGTGCTGGTGCTTCTTCTTCTTCTGACGTTAGCCATTTCGTCTTCTGCTTCCTCATCTTCCGTTTGGAATTCCTCGTGCACCACGTGCAGCAAACGCTCCATGCTGAGCAACGGCGTTGACGTCGGCGTCGTCGTTGGCGTTGCGATGCTCGCAGCGCTGCTGCTGTTGCTGTTGATGATGTTGTTGTTGTTGCCGTCGCTGTCACCGTTCAAATAAGATATGAACATGGCTAACCCGCGTCCACTCGCAGCCGAACCGAATTGAGCTACGTCTACGATCTCATTTCACTTCACTTGGATTACTCATTAGATTCGCATTTGATTTTCTGTTTGCATTTGCTATAGAGTTTTGGCTGATTGTAGCTGTTCGTGGGCCACATAGTGGCATGGTTTATCACACGGCTAGCCTGCCTCGACAGCGACTGCGACTGCGACTGCGACCGCGACGGCGACGTCAGCAGACACTCTTCTTATCATAATGGCGCCCAGAGATACAACAGTTGACACAGATATCGCGCCTAAGCGAGGTGAGTATTGAAAGTTGATCAGTTTTTCTATATAAGTGCAATTGGAAGATAGCATTAGGTTTCATTCCCATGTTCCGCTAATACCAGCTGAAACGCTCGGCACTGGAACAGATCTATAGCAGCATAAAGAATCGAATGACTAACTACAAATAGATTTCGATTTCATTGCAGCTTTGTCAACTTTCATAATTGTTGGAGCATGTCAAAAAGTGTTTTGGGACCGAACGGAAATGGAATGCTGAGAGAAGTCATTGTTAGCAGCTAGCAAAAACAATTGAATATGGAAACAATAGAGCAATGGAGCACACGGGTGCAGTGCGAAACGGGCATATTAGTTCAGTGTCCGACTGGAGAATCGCTCTCTGCTTGTAATATAATTATTTTCATATTTATTTGGTTTTTATTTTTATTGCTTTCACAAATTTATTTGACTTTGAGTTCGCTTCTCCCTCTCTGGCTGCTGCCAGCTCCCTTTTTCTTCTTTTCTTCTTTTTTTTGTGACTTTGTTTCTCTCACTTTGTGATTGTTTCACCCGCTGCTATTCAGAACACGAGCGCAGAGGCTTGTCTGTGCGTGCTCGGCTTGTAGCTGTGTGTGTGTGTGTGTGTGTTTGCCTTTGTTTGTGTGCGTGCTTAATACATTTGTATACATTTTGTATATTGTATGCATTGTAATTAAATTCTTATCAGATTCAGATGAAAAACAGAATAACAACAAAATAAAAACCAAGATGAAAATAATAATAATAATAATAATAAAAAAAAAACACACAGCGTGACTTGTTCTCTTTCTCTCTCTCTCTCTCTCTCTCTCTCTCTCTCTCTCTCTCTCTTTCTGCATCTGCATGTCTCTCTATCTCTGTCTCTCTCTCTCTCTCCCCCTACGTTGCCAAGGCAATTAAGTAAGTGGAGAGTTTCCCTGCTTGTTGTTGGCCAAGCGAATTGCAGCTTGTTGCTGGGATTTGCATGTCAATCGTCAGCGTTTAAGGTGTCTAAACACTATAATAACAAAACGTTCCGAGTCCATTTGCAGTTCCTTGTCGATTGCTCAATGTACACATATACAGGCAATATATCAGTATGTGTGTGTGTGTGTGTGTGGAAGGTGTGGGGGTGTAAATGTCCCATTGCTCTGTGCTGCGTTTGTCGTTAGTGACTGCGATTTTAGGACCTTTTTTTTCAACACGCCCACATTTCATTTGTGTTCCCTCATTCTCCTAGTTTCCTTCCTTTTTTTTTTTTTGCTAGGTGGCAACCCTGTTTGATTTGCCACTCAAACATGGCGTGCATTCTGTTTGTGTATAGCTGGAATTGACGTGGACTTTGCCCATGACCTGCCTCACTTTCACACCAGCTCAGCTCCCTCTGCCTCTGCCCCCGCCTTTGCCACTGTTCCTGCCAGTTTCAGCCTGGCCAGCGCACATTTTGTTTTGGAATTTAATAGTTTTCGATGCATTTGCGGATATTTTTAGCGCTTTGGCATAGTTGAGCCCCGGGCTTACACGGGCACAGAGGCCGGCACAGCCCTTTGGGGCTTATGGGCCACCTGTGCCTGTTCCGGCTGCCAATGGCTTATGGCAGTAAATTGGATATTGACTGCAATGCCTGTTTACGAATATACATACATATATAAAAATAGTTTCTCATAAAGAATAGGCGTATCCTGATTTGAAATAGCAATCAATTCTGATCAGAGAGCCAAATGGCATGCAAAGCACTTGCAATTTATATTGCGCAGTGCCTCCCTCTCTCTCTCTCTCTCTCCCCCTCTCCTTCCCCTCTCATTTATAATCAGATCAAAGGAAATATAATTGCATATAGAATATCGAATATAATCGACTGTCGCAATAGCAGCCAAGCCCATCTGAGCACGCGCCGTGCCATTGCGCAGCATAAAATCAAGCAATTCCCAAATAGTAGGCGAACAGCCGAGTATTTTGGCCGCTATCATTAGCCAGTGGGCCAAACATGGTCCGAAGCGTAATTTTCATCCAAATGCGATTAATTTGGATGCCCGCCTTTGAAGCTGGCTGTACGGACAAGGCGCTATATGCAAATGGGGAATATGTATCTGAATCTGAATCGGACTCCGAATTCGCAACTAAAATTGATTGTGCGTGAGTCTGACTTTGAGTCTGTTCCAGAGTCGGTGTCTGAGTCTCAATGGGCATCGCTTAAGGTTCTGACAGCAGTCCGGCTGTCCAGACAGACGGTACGCCTTTCTATCTGTGTCGGGGCTAGTTGATTAGACGGTGCACTGCGAAGAGCAGAGACCGCATCGCATTCAATGCCAACTGGGCCACTCCTCTGCGTCTCCAACTGCTCTGCGCTGTCCACTCTGTCCGCTCTGACAAAATCAATAAAAACCTTGAAAACATTTTCGTACTCTTTTCAATAAATGACACTTTGCAATTTGCGAATTTGCATTTACGTTTACGCCACGAACTAGAAATTCACTCGGCGGGCACTCGCCGACTCTTGCGACATAATAAAAATATTATTATTATCGTTTAGCTCTTGCTCTCCTTCTCCCAGTCTCCCTCTCTCTCTGTCTCTCTCACTCTCTCGAACAGCCAAAGTGATTATGAAAAGAATTTTTCTGTGGGAATATCGCGATATCTTGCCAATAATATTATGACTTTGTTGTAAGAGTCGCATCGCATTTAGAATATATACATATATAATAAATATTTGCATATATTCCTTTGTGTGCTCGTAAACGATAAGCATTTGCAATTTAGAGCGTACTCAAAGCAAGTTACAACAACACAAAGTCAAAGACAATCAAGAATCTTCAAGGTGCTGCGCCTTCCCGTTCTTCGTTAATTAATGCTGAATAAATATATTTGCTATATTACTGAAGTGAACATAACTCTGTATTATACTTATCGAAACAAAGTAAGAAGACAACATTTTGTTTCATTTCAGCAAATGAATATATTTTCGATATTCAAAAAACAGGACCTACAAAAAATACATTGTGAGTTTGCCAGCACAGCAAATTTAGCGCTAAAATATTATTTCATTTTATATTATTTTTGCATGCTCAAAAAATAATTTCATGTGCGTTAATATAATCCATATATTCCACTTTCTGTTCAACTTTTTTGTCAACTGAGCTTAGACTTGCGGCTTTTTGCTATCATAGTGCACATAACAGCTATGCTGAAAAGTTTTTGCCCACACGCAGTTGGCACTGCTGTTTGGCTACGAAAAAATATACAGTCGAGTTCTGATAATTCGATATGGTTAAATTATTATTATTTTTTTTTTTTTTTTCGACTCACACGGAAATTGAAATTATCGAGTACGAATTTATTTTCAAGGGGATAGAATTTGTTTGTATTTATCGCAATTATATATTTAGCGCACTACAGATTACCGAGACCTGACTGTATTGAAAACGTATAAATTTGCCGTTGATATCTGCCTTTCATTCCCTTTCAAGCCCAAAAACCTTCCCAAACCTTCCCAAAGATACCCAAGTCCATTCTTCCTACAGCCAGATAAATCTGCATTCACCAAATATAATCGATAAGAAATTTGGTGTATGAAAACTCTAAATAGCTCGAGCTCGCTGTAAGTACTTCGCCAAGA